GATGGCACCGGCATAGCTGAAGCCTGCTCACAAGGCGTCTCTATACAGCGCAGGCTTGGACACATAGAGTAGTAAGTCGACCCATCCGGCTATACAATCAGATGTTGGGTTGGGGGTTTACGGCAAAAGCCCTTCGTCAAAAAAGGTGCATTCTATCTGCACAAGTTACATAACCCTTCCGTGAGAGCCCGTTTCAGTAGAGGTCTCTGTGTTCAGACCGAACATCCCTTCTCATCCCGAGAGCACACAGTTCCACGACATGACATCAAGGCTCACAAGTCAAAACTTGAAACCGGGGACATCTTCAAAATAGGAGTCCACGATACCAAAACACGAAGCTCCTCTAATCCCTTAACACGAAACACTGTCCCTGTACCTGACCCTTGTCCTAACACCAGCCTACGTCCTCACTTGCACCAGAACTTGAAATTTAAAGGTTGAGGGTTTGCAGATTGCAGGGTTTTGGGTTCCTTGAAGGTCCAGGATGCGAACTGCTCAGGCTGCAGTTGCAACATAGACGACATAGACTGGACGGCGCTTTGCGGCCTGCGCCCTAAAGCCTTTTGGCCAATCGCTTAGGCTTCAGACATTGGGGAAACATACATCATCTAAAGGAAACTATACTACCAGCACTCAAGGTTTTACATTACAGATCGCGGTTGCGGGGCCTGGGGTGTTCGGGAGGCCCGACAGGACGTCAAGCCTGAGCCACCTGAAAGCTCAACCACATTGACCCGAAAGCGTGAAGCGCGTAAAGCCCTACACCCCAGCCCTGCATCCCTGCTTCACCCTCCGCTTACAATGCTCAAATGCAGCCCTCGATCCTCAGAAATTTCCCCCGGCCTACTCAACGGCAGCTCATTCGTTGCGGGTGCAAACGGCACTGAACCCAAAATGGCAGCATCAGCGTGTACGGAGTTCAGGAATTCGGACCGAGATCCTCCAAACCATACCAGAAAACAAGACCAACAAGTGCTTTCCACTTGCAAGGCGGCGTTTAAGAATAGATCCAGGCATCTGTCCTGAAGACGAGATTCTGCATCCCGAAGTCAGGCCCTGAAACCGAGGACCTGATATCCCCAAACCCTACAAGACGCGATAAGCCGAAACCTACGTTGCCTCAACCCTTGCCGAGCTTTTTTCACCAAGGCCAGAGCAAAGCGATGCAGATCCCGAACCCTGCAGTTTAAACGATAGCTAGCACACTCATTACCCGTCTACAAAACCCTGCATAAACCCTGAAACCCGACACCTGAACTTAAACCCATAAACCCCGAGACTCAACAACCAAACCCCAACCCCTACAGTAGAGAGCCCAACACCTCTTTTTTGAGGATTATAATAAACTCGAAATCATACTGTAAAAACTGGGTCTGTAACCTCTTAACACCCTTATAAAACCATTATGGAAACCTTAGTGCACACCGTATAAGTCAATCCTTGTATGAACCCTAATGAGTGACTTCTACAACTCCTACACCGCGACAAGCCCTAAGAAAGCACGATATCCCGAGCTCGATCCGGGAGCAGCCACATTAGCCAGGCGAGGACTTGGCACGGGATACCATGCCTCGGACGGACGAAATCGAGGCAAAGAGATCTTATAACGGTTCGTAGATGGGTTTGGGGAAGGCTGTAACACGGTTCGACTAGGGTTTTGGTCTCATACGGGTTCATATTGTGAGTTGGTATGGGTAGAGATTAGGTGCCTGGGGAAACAGGTGTTTGTGCCAGCGCAACGGTCCATAACCGCTCATAAAGATTGCAGGAGTTTATTGAAAGGCTTTCATGCTCTTGCAGAGTTTTGGGTGTTGACAGAGCTGGGATTGGGATCAGGCTTGCTGATGGACAAAATCCCTCAAGCCTTGCAAGGCCCTGAACTAATGGTACTGGGCCTCGGTGGACAGTACATCCAACTCCTAAGCATCGTCAACACCTTCAAGAACTCAGGAAAGCCGTCAACACCGCTCATTGTGGTACATCGCGCATTGTGGATACTTTAATGCAGGTTCTGTCCATCAGCAGATTCCACTGTTTTGGGCCCTGACCTTCTCGAAATGAGAGCTCAGAATCGTGTCCCGAAGCCTGGGCCTACAGGCTGAACTGTATAGGGTTGCAGGTTTATCTGCTTTGGGGTCTACATGGCAGTGGGGTAGGCTTAGCTTTTGGACCATTGACCGATTTCATCACGACAAACCCATCGACGGCCACCTCGTAACCCGGAAGCCTGTAGTAAAGCGCGGCCCAAGATGCACGTTTGCAACTACGTACCGTGTTTGCGGATACTCGGAGCGGAGAGCATGGCGTATGGCCTCCACGGACTTGAAAGAGAAGGCTTGGTGACGTTTGGGTCTTCAGGGTTTGCCGAGGCCGCGAAGGTGCTCTGAGGAGCCGTCATGACAGAAGACCCCAGCTACCTCGCAATAAGATTCGGGTGGGCGCGCTGAGTCTTGCGTTCTCATCGCATAGTCAAGATGCCACGAGTTTTGAGATGGTTTGAGGTTTCTGCTGGAACCTCCAGCTCCTGAGTGGTACCTTGAAGCTCCGGCGAAGTTATGCCTAGACTCATAACCATTGTCTTCAAGCCGCGGTTGCACTTATGGCCAATGTGCGGGTCCTGTCTACGGCGGGCTTGGGAAGATTTAAAAGCATGTGCAAAGTCCTAAACACCCAGTGCCCGAACACGCGCCCCAAGATGCCACACGCTGAAGCCCGACTATCACCCGCTGTGTCACCCTTGAAAATTTTATATGAGATGCCGATCAAAGGCCGTCGCCTCGGTCGTTACCTCGGCTCCATCGGCTTTGGCTTCGCGATCAAGCCGCTTCTCCTGGAGCTGAAGCGTCTAGTCTTCGGTTCGCAAGTCAAGGCTTTGGGGGTTTGGGGTCTAGGATTTGGATTTTGGGTTTCGGGGAGGCTTGGGATGCTGCGGTTTGGGGTCCGGGGTGTTTCACTCAGAACATGAGGGATCCACATGTGAACTACAACTAATTGGCCCGGGAGCCTGCAGAACGGCCAAGCTGCATGTCTCAGAAACCCATGAACCCTGCCTCCCACTTAGACTTTGGGGGTGGGCTCTTCGGAGTCCTTGGTGGGATCCCAAGGTATCGATCCCCACAGGGGCGCCTAAACGTCAACAGCTGAAGCAGCATCATCGTTGGACTTCCCTTTCCCGCTGAAGGCTCGCAAGCCTCACCAGGAAGGTTGGAAGAGCTTGGACTGTCGCATCAATGAAGCCAAAATTGAGGGACACGGCAGGCCCCTGACAAGGCCCGACTACTCGCCTCTTGGGGGCCGCAGCGGGCAAGAACTCATTCCGTGTCGCAGTGTCGCACAGTGCAGCAAACCGTCAAGCTGACAGAGTCCATTCAGGACACATTTAGATCAGCTCAGGAACAATCTAGGTGGACAGAGTCCTGCTTCTTTGATGACAGGATCTTGCTTTGCTTTCGATGCACTTCATGCAAACTTGAAGTCTTGAGTGGTTCACCAAGGCCCCTCCTCCTTTGTGCTGGGATTTGTTGCCTCAGCATCGCAACAACATGCATAATGATTTGCCACAACCGAAAAGACTTTCTCAATACATTTTCGTTGCTGCACGGCAGAATCTAGCCGTCTATCCAGCAAGTGCTCCCAGCTGAAACTAGTCGCATGACACTGAGGGCGAGGGCCATGCAGCAACATCATTGAAGCTTCTAGAAACATCCAGTAAAGAGGTGCTGCGACAAAACAGCTACAGTTTAAAGTGTAAACTTTGAAAGCACCCTTAATTCAAAAAGCAGAAATCTACACAGATCGGTGCCTCGCTAAGGATCCCACACTTTAAGATCGGGCAACACGGATCTTTCGGGCTCCTACATTATGTCATGTCGAATGGCACCTGCCGCCCAGTTCCTGGACAGGCTTGTTGCCGAAGACTATGTAGCTTAAGCTACCATTTGCTTCCCAAACGCAGGAACTTTGTACAACGCAAGCACACGGTCCTCGAAGCGGTCTGCCCAATCGCCCCATTCCGCCTCAGAGCTCTGAAGTTTGGCGGCATGCCCTTGCACTAGCCCCTCTTCTCGCTGCTGATACTGTGGGCGCAGACACACACGCAGAGACAGACCACTACCTGCCGTGCCCAGAACAAAGCACACAAAACCCAAGTCCCAAAGAGTCCTACGACCCGAAGAAAGCCATATAACCTCTTCAGGTGCACGACCGGCTCTCATCGAAGCTATGCAGAACCCATCCCCGCAGTGCTGTAGTTGTTGGTCATAACACAACTACGATGTCCTATTGTCGATACATGTACATATTATATGTACCCTGCTCTGTGTTGGCCTGTATACATACATATATATATATATAGATATAGATGCATATAGATATAGATATAGATATATAGATATATAGATATATAGATATATAGATATATAGATATATAGATATATAGGTATATAGATATATAGATATATAGATATGTAGATATATAGATATATAGATATATAGATATATAGATATATAGATATATAGATATAGATATATAGATATAGATATATAGATAGACAGACAGATAGATAGATAGATTTATGGTTGTGTTGTTCTTCGTCGTCAGTGCTACTATCAGTGTGGTTTTAAATTTTCCTAATTACTACGAGCTGTTGTCACTTTTGTTTAATATGGTTACGCTTGAGACGACCATAACGCTTACTTACTATCGCTAGCATTGGATGCCACGGAAAACCTGCCGGACTTTTTGACCGCCCGGCTAAGTCTCTGAGTGGGTGTGCTTCCCAACGGAAGCAACTGCGAACTTCTCTCAGAGAAGTCCGACTAAAAATGCATCAGAGATCAGAAAAGCGGCACCTTGAGGTGAGTTCTGATTGTGTTCACGTCCAACGCCCATCGATCCGACGGGCACCTTAAACGTGTATGTGACGTCACTGTTCACGTCAAACGCCCATCGAGCCTACAGGCACCTGGCTGCATGAGCCGACGGGCACCTGGCTGTGTCATCACGGGGGAGAGCGAAGCATGCCGAACTCATCATGGTGGATGTCCTCCTTTAGCTCAGAGGTCTCGCATTTGATGTCGAAGCGCTCCATGGTCTTGTAGCCGAAACGCTCATAGATGGCCACGTTCCTCTCGCCCGAAGTCTCCAGCCAAAGGGGCAGGTGTCGGCTATCCGCCCAAGTGTTCACAAATCGCATCAACTTTCCACAGAAGCCCATTCCTTGTGCATCCGGATCCACTGCCACAACCTTCACATGGGCATGAGGACCCGTACAATACTTGCTCTTCACCTCTTCGAAGGCGTCTTGACCTGCAAAAGCTCTGGTTTTCATTGCCCAGAAGGCTTCGCCTGCATCGCTCTTGGGTGGAAAGCCTCCTGCCCAGAAGGCTCGCACCTGTTCGAAGTGGCTCGAGAGCGCTGAAGGGACACCGTCCGGGTATGGAGCCACAAGAACCACAGCCCCCATGCTGCCATCCGGTTTCAGCCCAGCTACTGCGAAGCCACCGCGAGCAGCGACCAGAGACCATTCCATTCTCATCATCCAATCGAAGATGCTCTTGCGATTGGGGTCATCCCATTTTTCTTTTAGGGATGGCCCGATGACCCAATCCATTGTACCCTCCGGAGCCGTGGTCGCCGTTCCACAGAAAGATCGGGACATCACCGCAATGGCTTCTCCGTTCTCTTCGAAGGACTCTGAGATGGAGCCGTAAGTCTTGTGACCCAAAACCTGCTTCATGCCAGGACCGACCTCCACCTCGAACTGCGAAACATTGCTGCCCATGGCGATGTGGCTGTGGAAGAGGACCTGCTGCTCGGGCCTGTGGCTGTCGAAAGGCCCTGGCCCTACATCTCGGAATGCAGCGGTTCAGAACTTGGGGTCTTGGTTAGACTGTAGCAGCCCCCGCTCTCTGATCTCCCCATTGAAGCTGAGGCACACGGAAGCCTTCCACGTCCTCACGGACAACAAAAAGGCCACACGCACACACATACTTCCCCCCAAAAGCGACATGAGACTGCTCAGAAAGAAACCTGAAACGACTCTGGCACTAAGACCCTGAAACCACTTTCGCAAATCTCAAAGCCGAACACATGCGGACGGCGGAGATGACAACGGCAGCAAGAATACACCTTGAAACAAGATGTTCATGATGACGTCATCACGGCCTGAAGCTCGGCCGCAATGATGATCGGCTACTGTGCAAAGGACGAACTGACACCGACAGCACCCACAACTGTCACAACTGCTCAGGCCTTTCTATCAGACACTGAAAACAGAAACCACTCACACCGGAGTGCCCTTCACAACGGCCCCAAGAAGCAATCAAACAAAAAAAGGATGCAAGGTCTCAGACCCTAAACCCTTCATCTTAAACCTCGGCGTCTGAATCCCCGCATCGTACAAGTACTGTCAACCTGCAGGACACCTGATGGAAAGACCAAATGCACCGGCAAACTTCTGCCATCCTCGGCTCGGCGCCAAGCAGCGTTGCCGCCTGAGATCCTTGGGGGGCTTGCGCCCGCTTGGGGCTTCATTGGCCCAGGGGTTCAAAGGCTTCAAGCGGATTCAAGCGTTTCATGCACAGGCCTTCAAGTTCGGGAGTTTGCTACACTTTGTAAACCTCTTCGAAGAAGGTCTTCTTCCAACAGCCACCAAGAAACGGGACCCGAAGCCCCAAGACCCAAGCAAACTATCAACCTGCTTCGGCCCGCACCCCGCGAATTCCTTTCATCGAGAAGCTTGCCATGTAGGGCCGAGTGGACCATGCCAGGCTTGAGAAGGCTTACCTGGAAGCTGTATGCTATCGGGCTTCCCCAAAGCCCTGAACCTCAACACCCTTGAAACTTAAGGGCTTTCGGTGCTTCAGGTTTAAGTCTCGAGGGTTAACAGCCTGGGGTTGGGACCTGAGTGTCTCGTCAGGTACTGTATGAAGGATTAAAGGCCACCGGCTCTTCCAACCCACATCCCACGAAGCAGATCTTTACCCTCGATACTTCCTTAAACGTACTGTAAATCTCTTGACATCGGTGGCCTCGACCTTTCTCTTGCGAGTTGTGAACCAGTCATGATGGAAGAAACCCCGAAATCTAAATACTAGAGCCTGAGACCGAAAAACAAGCCGTGTCATTGGATTCTTCGGCTCTGGAGGCCCCTGGCGTCAGCGCCGAATTGGCCAGGAATATGAAAACCAACAAGCCCTTGCAAGCTCAGGGTTCAAGAATAAGGGTTTGGAAGTTTAAGCCGGCAATCACAAACTACAACAAGCCTGAAGCCCTGCTGCCGAAAGTCTGTCGAGGACGATATCCTACGTTCCAAACCCACATGCAGGCATGTATACCTGACATTGTCCTATCGTCCTCAGGTATTTGCATGTTGCCTGCGTACTAGGTACCTATATATGAGGCCTAAACACTCAACTCAAGTTTAACCCCGCTACGTAAATCCCACATCACATGCAGAGAATCCTAGAAGCATAGCGCACCCTAAGCCCCAATCATCCGACCAGGCGCCGACATGTTGTAGCGTGCAAGCTCCAACCTTCAGGTTGCCAAGCCCTAGCTTCAGGCGACTAGGCGTGTCGGGTTCATGATATCAGGGTTGTTGTGCACCGGGGTCGAAAGCTTTTGGGTTTCAAGTTTTTGGCTGTTCATAAACTCGAGCTACTGAGTTTCCTGACTCAGAAAAGCATACTTATCATACGTTTACGTGGTTCAGGATGTTGAAGAGACGAAAACTTCCTATGTTCCTTGTTTAATTGTAACATCTACACAGATTCTCTGATTGTCCTTTGGGAGTTTACAGCAAGCGCTGGTTTGGAACAATCCCCAGGCAAAATCCGACACAAAACCCCAATACCAGACCTAGCCCGAAGACATTTCCTCAAGAACCGTCTGAGATCGGCCATGCATCTCTGGCCCCTGCATGCATCTTACGGTCTACGAATGTGTATGGTGTCTTCTATGATTCGTTTCAGGGTCGCAGGACCGAGGGTGTAGGGTCTTGGGGTCTTGGGCGTTAGGCTTTACGACAGGTATCAGAAAGGCCATATGTGTTAAGGGTTCTCAGGCTTTAACAGCTAGGGTGTCCGGTCTGAGGATACTTGTGTCCAGGAGTCTACAGATTATTGGCAAGCATGAGAACTTGCTGCAGACAGCTGGCTACAGCGGCAAGGTACTTGTATCTATCTGGCTTTGCTGGAGAGTTGAGATATTAAGCAATGTAGCGGCCTAGATTGGAAAGCAGGGTTTTTTAAGTGCGTTGTATAAAATCATGGATATATATATATATATGGGAATTTAACTATTTATGCTGCCTGTATGCCCATACCAAAGCATGTTTGGAGTGGAACTGGTTGCGATACCACTTTTTCCGCCATGGTAAAAGCCTTGCAAAAACGAATTTGAAATCGTACAGCAACATTACATTTATACCCCCGAACCCATGTAGAGTACAAACTCAAAGCCTCCCGGTGCAGACCTCCTCGGAGCAGTTNNCCCCCCCCCCCCCCCCCCTACTGCGGGTTTCTAGGCGCCGCCTAGGCAGCGATAAAAGCTTTGAGGCTCACGGCTAATTATACGGGTTATTTGCAGTGGGGTCGTGGCCATGGGTACTAGAGCCCACCAAGGGTACCGATGAACCTTCAATCAGTATCGAAGACTGCAAGACAGGAGACATCTTGTTTTCCCCACAGCGCCCCCTGTACACTGTACAAACTGCTTTAGGATCTAAGCTTGACGGTGTTTTGAGCTTGCGGTGGGAACCAGCGGTGAATGAAACTTCCTATCAAGACATCCCTGGCTTTCTGCAATGGTAGAATCGGAACTGTAGCCCAGCGCGGTCAACCTCGTCTCCAGTCCTCACAGTTTTCAGCTCCTCTTTCTCAAGGGCAAAGCCCGCCTTCTGCAAGAGCTCCAGAGTCTGCTCCCGAGGGTAGGAGGACCAGACCATGGCGGCTCCCAAGAAGTCGGACTCTAGGCCTGGGTTCCCTCTTCCGATTTAGGGCTAATGGGTTTGGGCTTTAGGGTTTTTAAAAGCTTGGGGTATATGGTGGTTGTCGCTAAGGAGCCCGGATATTTACGAAGTACGTTGCCGGTATAGGGACATGTGATGTGATTTTCTGAACAGCAACCCAGAAGCCGCACTCACCCTCGCCATCCTCGAGACCAGAGCCCAGGTTAAAGACAAAGCGGCCACCGGGACGTAGCCAAGAAGCCACGCGGACGAAAAAGGCCGCTTGGTCGCGGCGTGGCAGGTGGAAGACAGAGAAGAAAGCGCAGATTGCGTCAAAGCTCTCCTTTTCAAAGTCCATCGAAGCCATGTCGCTGCAGAGGAAAGTAGCTCTATCTGATGGCACCAGCTTCTTTGCCAACTCGATTTGGCGCTGTGAGATATCCACACCTGTCACTGACATGTCCCGTGGATCCTCCACTACAGCCTTGGCCACAGGCACGCCAGCGCCGCAGCCCGCGTCCAGAATGCGGGCTCGCCTGGGCATCTCGGCAAACAGCTCCCGGAAAGCTTGGAGTCGCATGTCGTCCGGGTCGTCCACAGCGTGCTGGCTGAGGTAAGCATCCGCGCACTGGTTGTATCCATCTGCCACCAGCTTTCGGAACAGGGCCCCATCAGCTGCGGCATGGCTCTCAAGTTCTTTGGGGCTGCTGCCCGCCATTGCACTAGGATGCGCGAAGCAAAAGGGAAAGCAATGTGAAAGTCTCTTGCCTGGCGATGTTAGATTGGAGGTGGACGTGCCCGATGTATGACAGGCCCCACTGGGAACATGGCAACTAATTTGGCTCACATACTGTGAACATGTGCGCTGTTTGAGAAACTCCTGTATTTTACCAGGTGACGTTGTAGACACAGGACACATCACTCGAGCTTCCTGCGACTTCGCTACTCCCTGCCCCACTCATCGCAGAACGCTTACGTAATCCCCAAGACGGATCCATGTCATCGCACACCCACAGTAAACCTCCACACCCGAACACCCGACAGCAGGGCCCTGGATCCCCAGACAAGCCCCACAGAAGTCCCTTTTTCCATCCTGAGGTCATCCAGCCTCAGCACATCGCTAATGGACTCCAGGGCATTCTTGGATCCTGCGTAGCCTTCGGTTTTGGGCGTAGGATTGAATTCCGGTGGATCGGTGGAAAGGATGTGACTCGGGCTTTACAAGGGTTAGGCAAGGTTTAATATAGGGCTGAGCATAGCAGTAAGCGAGCATTCACTAGCGAATCAGGCAGGCACTCACATGACATCTTAAGTTGTCATGGACTTACAGCTTGAGAAAAACAAGAGCTTGATAGCCAGCGCAGGGTTTGGGATTGAAGCGTTTAGGGTCGAGGTGTCTCGGGATTCGGGTGTAGGGGCTATGATCCAGATTTTGTTCAAGTTCCTAATTATTTGCCCGGACCCAACAGGAGACGCTGGCTTGCAGGTATTAGGTCTGCTTCTTCCCCGGACGGTCTTCGTGCTGATGATGCTTCTCAGTATCACCAAATGTGGGCGGGCAGCTACTGTAGCCGCTGGCTGGCAGAGTCGGCGCCATAGATCCCACATTGACCACGCGGCCCGCACTGCTCTCACGGAGGAGGGGCAAGAAGGCCTTGTCAGACTGTCAGAAGCTGAGACAGTAGTATCCCTATAACCTGAACGTTAAGACCTGGTATTTCCTTCCTTTATGGGAGCCCAAGACAACCAAGGTCTGAAGATCGAGAAGCAGAGGTTTCGGGGTTGGGGCTCAGGATGAGGACCAAAACGACTTCTTAAGATCCGCAACCCTGAAGATCTAACAAGTAAAGCTTACGGGTGCAGGATCTGGGATCAGGACATAAGCATCCATAATTGTAACGACAATAAAGCCCTTTTTACGGTAAACACCAAAAAAGCACGCTATCTGTCCTTATTTATCCGAAACCCTCAGGTACTAGCCTCGATTGTGCCTTCACTAGTTCCTACACCCCAAACACTGTTCACCCGGAACCTTACTTTGTACCCACTCCTAGGTAGCTTGTTGTCCAAGTGCCTGGGTCACGCGGTAAACGCCGAAGACGTTCACGTTGTACAGCGCCATGACTTCCTCTTCCGAAGTTCGCTAACCGCTAACCTAATAGGTTGGAAAGATGGGAATTAGCTTTACAGGCCAGTAATTAAATGCTGCGAAGACTGGCATCAGGGTCGACGGTTGTATAGTGACCCGAATCGATACGTACTAAAATTTCGGATGTGGTTGGGGGTGTAAGAGTTTCCAAGGCTAAGGGACCCCAAATTAAGCCCGCAGGATCCGAAATGCAACCTTGAAAAACTCTCACACCCTCAAAAGACTGTAAGGCAAGGGTCCACCCTCAACTCAACAACCATGAATTGGGTTGGGGATTTGGTGCTTGGCCACTTACGTAGGGGTTTGGGATTTGGGATGTGGGGTGTCGGGTCAGGAATCTAGATTATTTTGACAGGGGTTTCAAAGATGGGTTATTGGGATTACTACCGGGTTGGAAAGGGACGCAGTAGATCCTGAAAGACTTAGGCCCAAGTGCTCATCATCGCAATTTCCGCTGCAATTGCCAAAAAGATGCTGTTGGCTAGAGATAACCAGTCTTGAGAAGCATCAAGGAGCGGCGGGTGTAATTTAGGGGCACTAAAATACGGGGCTGTATCCCCGACGACAACTCCGTTGCCTTGACCCTGGCGCGGACAGCCTGCTTTTGGATTCCGACCCTCGGTATTACACCCCGGCCCTTTTACACAGCGAGTTTAGGGTTTAGGTATAGCACAGTAAGGCTTGTAGTTTAAGGGCTTGGGGCAACCGGCAACCTAGCGTTCCCTCCCGAACCCCTTAAGCCTTCAGACCTACAATCTTGAACCCTGATTCCGAGCCATAGTCCAGAACTAGGACACGAACTCTCAAGCCCCGCAACCCGACATGTCATAGCGAGCTGCAAGCCTGGCTTTTTGAGCTCGCCAAGTTATGCATTAAATCAGCTATGTGCAGATCTTTGCATATTCCGGGTGCTGCCGACACACCTGCAATTGTATAGATGGTCTCAGGGCCCCACAACTCCAGTATTATTATAGTGCTAGTATAGTATATCATAGTATTATCATACTACTAATATAGTATTCTTATGGTATACTTATCACTTATAACTGTCAGGCACTTGGGCGAGACAAAGATACAGGGCACTACCCCTGCCTGATGACAAAGGCTACTCACTACTCACTACTACCACTGGTGCCACTGCTGCTACGACGTACAACAACTGCGATTACCACTGATGCTGTTAATAATGCTACTACTACTGGTACTGCTTCTGCTGCGATACTGCTACTGCTGCTGCTGCTGCTGCTGCTGCTGCTGCTACGACGACGACTACTACTGTCACTACTACAAACTTAATGCTATTAATGCAATACACTACCATCTGCTGCCCTCCTGATAGAGTCGCGGCACTTGCACCTTCGAGAGTGTGGGGGCGTTGAGCAGCAGCTCACGAATTTATCTTTCAGCTCGTCAAACCTTGGTTGCTTTGGAGTTTGGGTTTGAATCGAATATCTGCTGTCAAGCAGTGGAAATTCCGAACACCCCTTGAACTTTGAACAGTCTTAGGCACTAACGAAGGTCCCATTGTTTATGCAGATGAGGAGAGATGCCTACAGCACGTATCCCAAACCAGCCCAGATGCGGCTTCTGGTGGTTCGTTCTGCAGGTGGCACTGCTGGCGTACTACTTCGACATGGCCGTCATGTCCTGGCCGTTCAGGGGTGACTTGTGGTTCCGTTTACATGGACTCTGTCTACGCGCGGTATACCATGTGGAACCCGACTTGTAGGACGGCATAATCTTCGGGAAGCCAGAAGTCCTGGCCCCCGGGAGCAGTAACGCATAACATGCGTAACAGTAATTGAATTGTATACTAGACGTTCCTTTAGTGTATAGTCTGCAGTATATCTTTCCTTCATATACAGTATCATATCATACTATTACTATTCATGCCGTTCCTACTAGCCTACAGGATGCCCTTCGTTTGGACATTTCCCAGCAGCCTTCTCGGTAGTGCCAGATAATGTTGGGTAGAAACCCTAAAACCCAAACCTTAAACCTAAACCGTTCCCGCCTTCATGTGTCAGCATGGCCTGATGGGCATGTTCGAGCATGCGGGGCCGCCGGGGCGGGAGGAGTCGGCGAGCCTGGGACATGGAGGATTAGAGGTGTAGGGTTTCGGGTCGCTGGAGCTCCGAGGTCAGGGGATTCAGAGAGGTCCTAATGCCAGAAGCAGTGACAACAAAGGCAAAACACGGCACCAATTCCAAGATGAGACACAGTCAGCGCGACTGGAGCAATAGCTTCAGAAAAATCAGTACGGCAAATCCCAGCCTCAGGCCTAAAGCTAAGGCCCTCAACAGCTCCCCGCCTGCTGCCTGGTGCAGGGGAAGACAGCGCAGACGCAGCAACCAAGGAACAGGTCCATGATGCCGACCATCCAATGTGGCCCCGGAAACCAGGAAACCTTGCATTCACGGTTTTTTGAACTGAATTGGGGGTTCCAGGTTTGCACATTAAGGGTCGAATGGTTTAGGGCTTACCGGCTTTAGGTGTAGCGATATAGGAAGTCTGAGGTGTAAATGTATTTGTGTATACCATATCCCCGCGGCTTCAAAAGTTTTAAGTTTTCGGTTTGGGGTGCAAGACTGCATAAGGCCTAACCGCCAAATGCGTAAAAGCATACTATTGTCATATACCCGATAATAATTCCCTATACCAGTACATATACTATTATTATGTAAGAGTTGGACCAGGCTGGGATCCAGGCGATCTTGCTGGCCCTAGGCCCGTCAGCCTACAGGTCGAAACCTTAAGCCCTGTACCCGTTAAGACTTTGAAAGCAAGGATGTTGAAAGGCGTTTGAAGCCTAACTGTAGGGGCTTTGAGATTCAGGGATCTACTACGGCTTTGGGAGTGAAGGGCTTGGTGCTATCCGAGTTTGTGGATGCTAGGTTTTCATGGCTTCGGGTTTTATGGCTTCGTTTCACCGGCTAGACCTTGAAGAGGTGTAAGGTGGATACATTGCTAAGGTGCACTCAAAGCAAAGAGGTGTGCAGACATGAAAGAAAACCAAAAACCCCAAAAGGGCGTGCTCTGCGGGGTGCCCACCATGAGGTCAAAGATGTTCGGGCCGCCACTGCCTGGAGGGTTTATCCTATAGGGTTTAGGCTAGGGTTTGGGGTTTGGAAGCCCTAAAACCCTAAACCCCTAAAACCTAAACCCTACAGTGCAGGTTCAGGGCTGGCTTTAGAGGCTTTAGAGCAACGGGTTAAGGTTTGGGGATGTAGGTTTAAGGTTTAAGGATAGAGTGCTCCAGCCCCGAAAGACCAAAAACAACCTAATTGGGCACCACCCCTAAACCCCTAAGCCCCAAAACCTCAACCCGAAACCCCGAAACCCTTAAACCCTAGACCCATAAACCCACAACCCTAAACCCTAAACCCCTAAGCTCCAAAACCCCAAACCCTAAACCCCCAAATCCTAAACCCCTAAACCCCAAACCCCTAAACCCAAAACCCCTAAATCACCAAAATCCTAAACCTAAACCCCTAAACCCTGCCTGGTGGGCTGGGCGGCTGGGGAGCGGAAGTAGGGGACTGCGTAGAAGGAGCCGGCGGCCAACATTTCCCACTCCTTATGTGCTTGCAGTCGTGGCTTAATGCTTAGGTTTAGGGGTTAAGGCTTGGTTTTAGGGTTTTGGCTTAGGGCTGAGGGTTTCAAGTTTGCCTGGCCCTTACGTATGCCTTGGCACACATGCCTGGGCATCTCCAAGCCTACGTTGGAGGGTCGAGACTAGCCAGTCTGCAGGTTCAGGGTTTGAGGCTTTTGGTGATGGCTTGGGGGTTGGGGCTCACCGTTTCCCTGGCCCTCCTGTGTTAGTAAGCTTGGGAGAAATAGCACGGCATTCATGTAAAACCGAAAGCAAAAACAACAACAAGCAAACACCACCTGGGATGGATGACAGTACTTCAGGATTGGTCGATTTCCGGTCAGGGTTTGGCTACAGGAACTTTTGACTTTGCATTTGGGTATGTACTATTATGATTATGCTGTGCCATTAAACAGCCAATTTTGTTACTACTACTACTACTACTA